CTCTGTGCTAAACATGTATGACGACTTTTGTTTTCTTGTCATTATTCCCTAGACAATACAGTGTAATAACTATTTGTTTACCTTCTTCATTATGTTGGGTATAATAATCATCTAAAGGTGATTTAAAGTATACGGTAAGTGTGGGGGTGGTTCATGCCCGTGATCTCAGCCTTTGGGAGGCTGAGGCAGGAGTATCACTGTGAGTTCAAGGCCAGCCTGGAACATACAGCAAAGCCAAGTCTCAAAATAAAATAAAATAAAATAAAATAAAATAAAGCATAAGGCTGAGTGTGGTGGTATATGACTGTAATCCCAAGCACTGGGGAGACTGAGGCAGGAGAATCATTTTGAGTTTGAGACCAGCCTGGGCTGCAAAGTGAGCTCAAGGCCAGCCTGAACTGCATAGTGAAACCCTGTCTCAAAAAGACATACACACACACACACACACACACACACACACACACTCAAAAAAGAAAGTACCTGGAAGGATATGTGTAGGTTACATGAAAATACTTACATAAAAGACTGAACAGCTATGGTTTTTGGTATCTGTAGGGAGGGGCGGGGTCCTGGTACTAATTTCCCCTTGGGTACTAAAAAGGTACATGACTGTAATCCCAGCACCTGGAGCTAAGGCAGGAGCATTGTGAGTTCAAGGCCAGCCTGGACTACATAAGAAGACCCCGTCTTGAAAACAAATACCACCCCCAAAATAACCCACCTCAATAAAAGCCACAGCAGTATGACCAGAGTACACAGCAGATCCGTCCCCTGAAGTTACTTCATGGAATCTCTGTCACATGAACTTGCTGATGCCCTTCACTGAACCACCTGTAATTATCTTTATTTGCTTATTGACATTCTTATCAGCTTGTAGAATCTGCGCCTCCCTCAAGCCCTAGGTGAGGGCAGAGTCTCCCTTGTGGCTGGGTGTCCAGGTGCTGTCACACAGCCTGCACATGTTTATGAGGTGGATGAAAGGAAGATGCTTTGTTGGGGCTGGTGAGAAGGCTCAGTGGTCTAAAGCATCTACTTAGAACAAGCTAAGCTAAGCAAAGCACAGGGCCCGCGGTTCAATCCCCCAGCACCACATGCCAGCGAGCCTCGCCCCCTGGTGGGCTGAGCTGGCCACACACACACACTAAATAAATAAATAATAAAGCCTCTTGTGCTCATGGGAGGCAGCTAAAAAAAAAAAAAAAAGAAAGATGCTTTGTTGCATTCGTGTTTACTGAAGACAGATGATTTTTTTTTTTTTTTTTTTTTTTAGACAGGGTTTCACTGTGTAGTTCAGCCTTAAAGTCTATGTAGTCCAGGCTGGCCTCAAACGCATAGTGATCCTCTTGCCTCAGTGTCCTGATTGCTGGGATTACAGGTGTGCACCATCACGCTCTGCCTGAAAACAACTTTTATCAGTGTCTTTCCTTTTAATTTTTTTTTATTTTTATTTATTTATGTGTGTGTGTGTGTGTGTGTGGCCAGCTCAGCCCACCAGGAGGCGGGGCTGGCTGGCATGTGGTGCTGGGGGATTGAACCGCGGTCCCTGTGGTTTGCTAAGCTTGTTCTAAGTAGGTGCTTTAGACCACTGAGCCATCTCACCAGCCCCAGTGTCTTTCCTTTTATTGTGATTCTGTCAGAATTCCTCTCAAATCCTTCCCATCATGGACAGTTTCTCTCATCCCTGTTTTAAGCCATTGTGGAAGAAATCCAGCCCCTCCGATGCATGAGATCTACATGCCCTGCCATCTTCAGACCAGTGGGCTGTGCTCCTGTGGGGCAGAGGAGTCGTGGCAGCAGTGGCCCTCCCTCCTGCTTGCCTCTGCTTGTGCTGCACCACAGAGGCGTGGAGCATGCATGGGGGCGAGTGTGGGTGGGTGGGAATGTTCTAGGGGTGTGGAGAACCTTCGAGAGTAGCTTCTTTTTCCAGGGAGCATAGCTTGTTTCTGGTAACCCCACCAGGCAGGACGTCACAGTGTCCCTACCATATTGAGAAGAGTTTGTATCCTTGTGCCCTCAGCCTCTTCTGGGTTCCCTGGGACCTCAGAGGTCACAGTGCTGAGAGCAAGGATTGGCAGGTCAGAAGGGCCCTTACCCAAATAATGAGATGCCTGGGCAGAAGTCTCTCCCTTTATGTTTGGGAAAGGCGGTCACACCCTTCATCCACATCACATCCCAGTTCTTCAACCTTAGAAGGTGGGATGGCCTGAGGGTGGGGCCCTTGCTAGCTTCAGAACCAAGCAGGCCCTGATGACTGAAAAGGAGTGTCACCACCTGGACGGCCCACTCAATAGCCTGAATCCCAGGAGAGTGGTTTGTCCCTCTTGGGCTTGGAGCCCCCCAGTCCCTCATGCCTGCCCTGGGGCTCCCTGTGTGCTCCGTGCTCCGTGCTCTGTGGAGGATGCCCTGTGGCGGATGCAGGCCCTAGGCCAGCTGTGAGGAGGCTTCCGACCTGATGTGAAGTGAGGTCGTCCTGGGCCCCACCCCCAGCTACCCTCCCAGAGAGTCAGCTCCCTCTCCACCCCCTGGGGATGGGTTAAGAAAGGTAGCAGGACCAGCACCTGTCTCTGTCCCCAGAGAAAGAGATGTTGTCTGGATGGGTGGTTTATGACAGCAGAGGAGGCCACCTCAGGGATCTCAGTAGAGCGAATCTCTGGGAGCCAGACTCAGAGTGATTTTCTTTTTTTTTTTTTCTTTAAATTTTATTTCTATTTATCTTATGCTTAATTTATTCCCATGTTGTAAGTTTTTGTTTTTTCAGTTTCTTCTGGGGTATCTTTTTCTTCTGTGCAACTTCCTCCTCTGGTTTAGAACTTGTTTCTTTTCAGTAAGGATCGTCTCAATAAGGCAAGGGGAGCTCATGTATGGGTTAATCCAGTCATGAGCTCTATAAGTACGGCGGTGCATCCTGGGTGCTTTGTTCACCTGGCTATGTTCAATAAACAGAGAATCTACATGTAAACTCTTAATTTCAGCATTACTGTCTGCATTTTTAAGCGTGTGCAGCAAAAATTCAGCACTCTTTTTGGGCCACCGACCCTGCGTCCAGCCCCACTGTTTGGCCAACACCACCATTGTAATGCCGGAGTGGTACACCTTGCTTCTTTAATGTGACATCCTTCAGATACTTGGTGGCCTTCCGGATATGCATACCCTTGATGGCCTGGGAAGTTTCATGTGTGTTCTTAAAGTGAACATGAAGATTTGAGCCTCTTGATGTGCATGATTCTGTGGGGTTTTCTGGGTCGAGAGAGTAGTGAACCATTTCCACAGGTCACCTCAGGCTGCTCACAGGAAGAGGAAGAGCGACAGTTTCTGGGAGAGTTCATCTCGGGGTGATTTTCGTGTCGGCCTCTGTCTCGGTGATGGAGGACTTTATGGAGGACCTGGGGACTTCTTCTTTTCCTTCCGGCCCAAGTCCCCTCAGGTACTTCTTCCAGCGGGCCAGGCGGTGCTGGGCAGAGGAACGGATTTCCCCACTGCGCATGGCGTAGATGATAGGATTCACCACGGAGTTCAGGAGGCACAGGATGGAGCAGAACGCGAAGACTTTCTTGACCGCATCGCTCAGTGTTGTGGTCAGGCTGTAGACCATGAGGGCCAAGGCAGGGAACCAGCACACGAGCAACACAGCCAGCAACAGCCCCAGCGTCTTGGCCAGCCTCACATCCAGCCTCATCCGGGTCACCCCTGGCGCCGGCTTGTCCTGGTGTTCGGCCAGGCTGGCTACATGCTGGTGGGCCTTCCAGAGGACGTGGCCATAGGTGTAGAGGATCCCAGAGAAGAGGAGGGCAATGAACAGGAGCCAGCCCAGCAGGTAGTCGTTGGGGATCAATGGAAAAAGCTCAGAGCAGAGACTGGGACAGCAGGTCCATCCTACGAGCGGTGGGTAGGACACAAGCACCGAGAGGACCCACATGACGCCCAGGGCCACCAGCGCCCTGCCCCGCGTGAGCAGAGCTTTGTATCTCTGTGGGTGGCGCAGACAGAGGTAGCGGTCCACAGCGGTCAGCAGCAAGCTGCCCACAGAGGCTGTGAAGGTCATGGTGACGCTGCAGATCTTCAGCAGGAAGACGGCCTTGGAGTCCACGCCATTGAAGACGTGGAAGTTGACAAAGCTACAGACAAAGACCGTGCTGGCCAGCAGGTCGGCTGCAGCCAAGCTGCCTATGAACAGGTATGAGGGCTTCCTGCGCATCCGGTGGGAGGACAGAGTCAGATACAATACAGTGGCGTTCTCCAGGGCACTAAACAGGCCGAGCAGTATGCACAGCACGGCGACAACTACCCTCTGGGGGCCACTCAAGACCATGTAGTCCTTCATGGGCTTGAAGTCCAAGTGGGCCATGGAGCCATTGGCCACCTGCGTCTCCCGGCACCCCTCCATGGGGCCTGCCTCTGCACGGCTCCCCACTCGGCTGCAGCACTGGGAAGAGGGGAGAGTTTTCCAGTTAGTGCAGAAATGAGCTCATCTGACCACTGACTGACACGCATCTATGTTTGCCTGAAAGGGTGGATCATAGGTTGGAAATCACTGTGTTTTTTGTGGCCCTTTCTCCACTTAAGTGGAGAGCTGGATCTGCAGGGTTTTTGCTTGTTTTTTGTTTTGGTTTGTCTCAATTTTTGTCAGTTCTGGTAAAGTGTTCACCATTTTTATTTTGTTTTCAAAAAGATTGTCTTTCTTTCTTTCTTTTTCTTTTTTTTTTACACTTCTGGAAATTTAACCTAGAACCTTGTCATTGAACTACACTCCCCCCACCCTGACCCTGCTAAATTGCTAAAGTGCTCAAGCTGAATTTGAATCTGAGAGCCTCCTGCCTCAGTCTCCCTAAGTGCTGGGATTATAGGCATGTGCCACCATGCCCAGAAGGTGTTGAAGTTTTAACAACTATTTGGGGATGGGAGATGGTTCTTAGATTTCATCCCAAATGATAGGAAGAAAAATTATATAAGATAAAGTATTTTTCTACTACATACATTGTATAAATCCAGCCAGGTGTGGTGATACATGCCTGTAATCCCAGCATTGGGAGGCTGAGGCAAGAGGATCATGATGAGTTCAAGGCCAGCCTAGGCTACAAAGTGAGTTCAAGGCCAGCCTGAGCTGCACAGTGAGGCCTTGCCTCAAACAGACAAAAACAAAAACAAAAACAAAAACAAAAACAAAAAAAATCAGGGCCAGGGAGATGGCTCAGTAGAATAAGCACTTCCCTGGCAAGTGCAAGTGCCTGAGTTCAATCCCTGGTTCTGCCAAAAAAACAAAACAAAACAAAACAAAACAAAACAAAAAAAAGTTAAATTTGAATGTTAATTATTATTTTTTAATATGTGTATCACCTTCAAGAGAATGCAGAGATTTGCATAGCCATGCACAGCTAGGTGGGTTTTTTTTGTTTGTTTGTTTTTGTTTTTGTTTTTGTTTTTTCAGAACTGGGGATTGAACTCAGGCCTTTGGGCTTACCAGGGAAGCGCTTATTCCACTGAGCCATCTCCCCGGCCCCCGTTTGTTTGTTTTTTGAGATGGAGTCTTGCTATACTATTCAGGGTGGCTCTGACTCCCAGGCTCAAGTGATCCTCTTGATTTTTAGTCTTTAGCAGACTCGGACTGGGGCTGGGGAGACAGCTGTGTGGTATAAGTGCCTGCCTGGCAAACGCAAAGACCCGGGTTCAATCCCCAATACCACATGCTGTGCTGGCCCAGGGCTGAGCCAGCCACCAAAACTGGGTATGGTGGCTCACGCCTGTAATCCCAGTACTGGGGAGGCTGAGACAGGAGGATCACTATGAGTCCAAACTGCATAGTGAGACCTTATACCAAATAAATGAATAAATAAATAAATAAATAAATAATAAGAAGAAGAAGACTGGATCATGTGTGTATATCCCTATCCTTGGCCTTGGGTCAATCTGAAAGAGAAGCTAATCTCAGGACTTGGCAGGAAGGAGGATCACCAGGAGTTGGGTGCCAGCCTGGACTACATGGCAAAACTCTGTCTCAAAGAAAGAAAAAGAAAACTGGTAGATTAAGCCGACCACATATTCATTAACAAGAATGTACATGATTTAAATATGCAATTGTGATCATTAGGCTTGTCCACAGGACTGGCCTAGAAGCATGTAAAGATTAGTAAATCACACTGGTATTTCTGGGTGGGTCCTGGAGGTGTGGTCTTGGGGGTCCTCTCTGGTGCGGTCCTCCTGCTCCGCCCCTGGCCACTGTGAATAGAGCAGCTATGACCTGCTGTGTCCCTTCCACAGGAGGTTTCTGCCTTCGAGCCAGCAGACCATGGATCGGAACCTCAGAAACCATAAGCCCATAAGCCATTTCTTTCTTTCAATTGTGCATGTCAGGTACGTGGTCCCAGCCGTGGTAAAGCTGCTTATATACAGCAATGAGCAAACACTGAGCTCAGCACCAAATAACTGGAGTATATGTACTGTTTTGAAGCAGATGTGGACACTTGCCAAAACTAAGTCTTAAGTGAAATATAAATTTCAGAAATATGTAAAATGATCTGCGGTATAAAAAATATGCTCTATATGCAATGCACTTAGAAATTAAGAACTTTAAAAATGTAACTAACAGGGGGCTGGGGAGATGGCTCAGTAGAATAAGTGCTTCCCTGGTAATCACAAGGGTCTGAGTTCAATCCCTGGTTCCAGAAA